AGTGATGGTAGAACCATTTTAATGATAGAATCATTCCGGTGATGGTAGAACCATTTTAATGATAGAATCATTCCGGTGATGGTAGAACCATTTTAATGATAGAATCATTCCGGTGATGGTAGAACCATTTTAATGATAATCATTCCGGTGATGGTAGAACCATTTTAATGATAGAACCATTCCGGTAATGGTAGAACCATTTTAATGGTGGTAGAGCCATTAATAGCACTGAATGCACAAGCTTCTGCCATATAAAGAAGAGAGTGACATTGTGCCTGCTTCCAGAGGCTTTTTTTCATTGACCTCATAGGAAGGAAAATCTGATTGAGGTCAGGGATATTTTTAACAATGGTAAAGGTACGTCGGCAGGAGTTAAAACAAAGGTCACCGTGACGGGTCACCATCTGAGAAAGGCCTGTGACCTCATTCCTGACTGATATATTGAATACATAGGTTAGCGAGTGAGAGGTCAGCAACAGGGGTTAGTAACCGATGGATTGGCTGGGTTGTGGATATTGTTGAATGCCCATAGGGACGATTATCGTTAATATTTGTTTGTAATTGCCAATTAGCGATCATAAACAAAATAAATTGCATGTCATTTTTAATCAATTTATTTTACCCGAAATGTTGGGCGTAATAAAGCATTTGTGCTATGTTTGAGTATTTGTTTAATAATAGGGATGTACCGAGATGTGCAGACTTGGTCTCCGGGACCACACTGGTGAACCAGTATGACAGAGAGAGAACGGGAGGAAGCTGCAAGGATAAGGAAGAAGCTTATTTTCTCCTTTCTAACAATTTCTGAATTTATATTTTTCTTTTTCCTTGCCTGTGACCTCCTCTTCTCAGGTCACATTCTTAAAAAAGAGAGAGCTGCTGATGAGATTCTTATTGATAACCAGTTCTTCATTAACAGACAAATTTACCATCATTTTTCTCTGTTGTCTGTTGTTATATTTGTTTTTTTCCGCTTGTTGCACAACTGGTTGTTGTGTCTTTGTAGTAGAAAAGTTGTTTGTGTGCCTTTGAGTTATTTTGTTAGTGAACAAGTGTGTTGACTGAAGTACGTTAAGTTGTTAGTAAGTGTTGAGATATGTGCAGCGTGCGGTGCAAGTGTGTACTGCGGTTGAATATTAACGTTGAAGATTTGAAGCTGACTGGAACGGACTTTCACAATTCATCATGTGGAAGCTAATATCCCAATCTCTTCAATAAAATGGCAAATTAGGGCATACTTTTAATAATCTTTATTTTTATAAGTACATGATATACCTTATACAGGCCTAGCTGACATCAGCGACATATTATATAGAAAGCCCCTGGTTTTGCAGAGAATTTCTGGCAACTTAGATTAATTTTGTGCCCAGGATGCGACCCACACCAGTCGGCTAACATCCAGGTATCTAGTTGCTGCTAGGTGAACAGGGACATCAGGTGTCTTAAGGAAACACGCCCCAGTGTTTCTACCCGTACCGGGGATCGAACCACGAACACTCAATGTGTGAGCTGAGTGCACTAGCAACTGAGCTACGGGACACCCAGACCTAATTCAAACCTTCCACTAAGAAACACCAGCCTTGTATCTAAACTGAAGAGGCATTCTTTTATTAACTCAGAAAGATCAATGTCCTAAAATACACAAACACGTTAAGCTTGAAGCCGCTCAGAAGTTGCATCACCAAGTTATCAGTGCTGAAGTGTTGAAGTTAATCAAATGCCACAGTCAGAAATTATCGCATGAAAACAGTATTTCAGCTTTCACATTTTCTTTATAAAAAAACAGTTTTGAACCTACACAGGGGAGTATCAGTCTAAACTTTTCTCTAAGACTGACCAGATTTAATTAAGTGAAAAAGTTAATAAGTCTTAGGAACATAATTTCTTTTTACGGTATCTTGAGGTCGCAGACCATATAGCCGCATAAAAGCACATTGTCTAGATTTAGCCTAGGATAACCCAATAAAATCAAACACTGTCACTTCTGATCAATAAAATTGATTAATAAAACTTACACATTCTAAAATCGAGAGAAAACTTCCTGTGATGAAAACACATCAGCACTTAAAAATTTCATCATTACATGATTAACGTTAAACTTTAAGTCGACTAGAAGAGGTCTTCTCCAGTTATCGCATGAATTCCAGCAATTCCAGGTTTTATGAACTAATTTAATACACTAACAAATTTACCTGCACAATAAATTTAATGGGTACTATACTGATCATAAGTTGTATCACCTAAATATTGAAGCCATTCAGAAGAGGTAGAGTCAGATATTTTTAACAATATCAAACGGGAATCTTAGTTTCAAACTGTTTTACACACAAAATTAGCAGATGTGCACCTGCACACTTGAATTTCACTCTCCGCCGTCATGGAATTCAGGAGGTAAAACTAACTTTTGTGGAACGCATGAAGCTACGCTGCAGAGGGTTTTGGAAGTTGTTAGAGCCATTCCAGGTTGCTAGGACTGGTTCCTACATCTTGGTCATAAGGCATTCACACATGCCAATTGTTCCTAGAATCTTAACCTAGATACCGTATACCAGCGTTGAAAAGTTGAAACTGATCGAAAGAGGCCATTTTGTGTTATGCGCGAAATAATAACGAAAAGTTGGAGAAAGAAAAAAATTCTGTCCTCCACTTATCGAGTCCCTTCTGGGGATACCTAATAACTGAAGTTCGTAATAAATCTGCTTGTATATACAAACATGATTTTTTTCAGATGTATTAAGAGGCGTATGTAAGAAAGTTTGAGGTGAGTGTTGTGAGGTGTGTTGGGGTGGATGATAATGTCACCAGGGAGCCAGTGTTCAGCTGGACTAATGTAGTGACCAGCAGTTTGCTCCACCCTACCGGTAGTCTTCCTAGTGTCAACACTTTATGCTGTGTATCACAGACTTGTCACTGGATGTGACATTTATATTATATATTTTGGTGTCTGCCGAGTAATTTTTTTGTGAGAATAAACATTATATTGTATATCGTTGGGGCATAAAGTTGCTCTTGAATCCTCCATTAAAGCCTATTTTAGCTTAAATTTTCGTGTTTTTTTTTTTTTGTATATTAGCGTTAATCTTTTGTCTTATTTAGTAAATATATATTCATTGATCATATATGGCATGTTATCCACGAGGGATTTAAGTTAACTTAAGAGATTATTGGTTAGTGAGAGTGACAGTGTTGGAGCAGGCAAGAGAAGCCTCTATGGTGGTACTCCGTGACTAAGGACACTTTAGCAAGTTCTCGTCTTGGCTGCTTTCAAATTCAGTGTAACTTTCTGCACTTTTTATTTTATTCTTGTAGCAAGGCAGGTATACTTTTTTAAGTCATGTTCTCCTTAACATCTGAGTCTCGTGCTTAATATTGAGTGTCACCGGAAGTGTTGTGTTTTGAGTCTAGGAGCTTGTCATGTACTTACCTGTATGTAGTTGCGGGGTCGAGTCATAGCTCCTGTACTTTATATGTTGCAATGTTGCATTCTCACTCGTTACTGCATGCTCTCTCATGCTCTATGAATTTTCTTGTCTCGCCACCACTTTATATATATACACGTATATATATATTGCATTTTTCTCGCTGAAATTTGTGTTGTCTTCATGTTTGTAAAATATTTCTATGTGAGTCTTATTTGTTTAAAGTACCTAACAAAGTACTGTTTAAAGTACCTAACAAAGTACTACGTAACTCGTATGTTTGATGTATAGTTATTTTCCTGTGTTAGTCGTCCACCACTTTTAAAATATCTTCACGTGCATGTATTAATTTTGGACGACTTTTGGTATAGTTATATCTGAAATGCACTTGCCAAAACCAGCACTTTTTTTTATTTCATTATATATTGCCATACTGTAAATCATTATTTTTTTATATGTGTAATGAAAAAAATACGAATTTATTTTACATTTTTAAATTATTTCATATTTCAGGAATATTTTAAAAAATGTGAAGACCTGCTTCATTTATACTTGAGTGTTTTCCATAAAGTTTCCCATCTTCGTTATTGTTATGATGTTCTAGTTACTTAGCATGACTCCTATGATGATAATGATTCAACTTGCATATTGTATATATATTAGTTACAGTATTGAATTCAGTATATTCATCTACAAACAGGATATTTGAATGTATATACTGGCGTATGATGAGTAAGAAACAAGTGGAACACTGTCAGACATTGTTTTACTCATCAACACGTCGCTGTTGTATGCCATTTAAATATACTAGTGGTGTATGCAGAGTAGTGAAAAATGAGACATTTGTGAAACATTCGGGAATCTTTACTGGGGAAACATTACGCCACACAGTGGCTTCATCAGTCCAGTACAAAGTAGAACGGTAAATAAAGATTAGAAGTTCGAGGTAATCAGTCCCTCTGCCTGGAATCGAAGTGTTTAGTCCATCAATCAAGATGGATGGACTAAACACATCGATTCCAGGCTGAGGGACTGATTACCTCAAACTACTACTCCATTTCTACCATTCTTCTTTGCATTGGACTCATGAAGCCACTGTGTGACGAAATATTTCCTCAATAAATATTACCAAATGTTGCACAAGTGTCACATTTTTCAACTTGTAGGTTTTCTAAACTATTTATCACATGCATAGTGGTGGAACCATTCTTGTTGACATAGTGGTGGAGCCATTCTTGTTGACATAGTGGTGGAGCCATTCTTGTTGACATAGTGGTGGAGCCATTCTTGTTGACATAGTGGTGGAGCCATTCTTGTTGACATAGTGGTGGAGCCATTCTTGTTGACATAGTGGTGGAGCCATTCGTGTTGACATAGTGGTGGAGCCATTCGTGTTGACATAGTGGTGGAGCCATTCGTGTTGACATAGTGGTGGAGCCATTCTTGTTGACATAGTGGTGGAGCCATTCTTGTTGACATAGTGGTGGAGCCATTCGTGTTGACAATAGCAGACCTACCATGGCTCCTTCATACTCTTCTCTGTAAACTTACACCATCTGAAGCACACCAATTTATTTGACTTATTGTTTCTTTCAGATTAAAACCATTTTATGTTGAAATCAACAAGGCAAAAAAGTAAGATAAATATCTCATAAACTAAGAAGGAACCACCATAACAGCTGAAGAAGGTAGTTCATTAATTAACTGATCCAATATACATAATATTGTAATACAGACTTTACTAAAAATTAAACATTTACTGAAAGACATTAAATTAAGAATTAATGTTACAGGACAACTTAAGGAGAAATAAAAACAAGTATGGAGGTGATGATGTAATGGTTGGAGAGATTATTAAATAAAAAAAAATCTGGACGTATAAATGTAACGACAATTTACGGAGATAAGTTATTCCACGTTTTTATGCATTTTATTTACTTGGAGGTTGAGACGAGCACAATGGATGTCCCAGGTCCTAGATGCAGGTGTTATGCTTGTGTCTTCTTACAGTTTAACCAGGAAGCTTTTAATTATTTTTTTTAGTTTTATTATGTCGTATATTGATATCAGTGGCATCGGTATTACTAGTTCTTATTTTTTTATGTGCATATATTGAGCAGTGTGAGCGGCAGTTACCAGACATAACATTTTCTTTTGATATTTTACTCTTTGAATGTTCAACATTTTGCATCGACTATATCAACAAACCGTCTTTATAAAGATTGCAACACATCTATGACCAATTTTTTTTTAGTTTTAGTGGTAATATGTATTTTTTTAGATTGCGTTCCCAACTATACTGTGTACAGAAACATTATGTAGAAATAGTAAAAAAAATGCGATTAGATATTTAGATTGCATTTCTTACTTTACTGGCGTATACCTATATGAATTGTAAAATACAAAACGACAAGTATTTCTTTCTAGTGATGTAACTATTCTCAGTGGGATCTGACAAAGACCCATTGTAACGTCTGCAATCGTTTTTTTTCCCTCTCGCTACGGCTCACAGGATGATCAAGGGGTGCACAATAAACTAGCCACTCAGGCGGAAAAACTAAAAACTAGTGTTAGCCACCCAGGGTACTCCATTAAAGTCCAGTGCGCCATCTAAACTGTCCTCTTTCCATTGAGGGTGTTTTAGTCTCTTCGGGGTGAGACCCATAACAATCGGCTAACAACCAGGGGCCTAATTTATGCTAGGCGAAATGACCCTGGTGGGTTTAGTGCTTAGTTCTGAATGTGATAATAACTGCTAGGTGAACAGAGGCAGCAGGTGTAAGGAACATGCCCGGTGATTCACCCGTGCTGGGGAGCGATTGCCGGTCCTTAATGGAGCTCTGGACGCTATCAACCAAGCAAACAATCACACTTGATTACCACCCCTCAACCAACAACACAACACAACACAACACAACACTTGATTACCACCCCTCAACCAGCAACAACACAACACTTGATTACCACCCCTCAACCAACAACACAACACAACACTTGATTACCACCCCTCAACCAACAACACAACACAACACTTGATTACCACCCCTCAACCAACAATACAACACAACACTTGATTACCACCCCTCATCCAACAACACAACACAACACTTGATTACCACACCTCAACCAGCAACAACACAACACTTGATTACACCCCTCAACCAGCAACAACACAACACTTGATTACCACCCTCAACCAGCAACAACACAACACTTGATTACCACCCCTCTAACCAGCAACAACACAACACTTGATTACCACCCCTCAACCAGCAACAACACAACACTTGATTACCACCCCTCAACCAGCAACAACACAACACTTGATTACCACCCCTCATCCAACAACAATACAACACTTGATTACCACCCTCATCCAACAACAATACAACACTTGATTGCCACCCCTCAACCAGCAACAACACAACACTTGATTACCCACCCTCAACCAGGAACAACACAACACTTGATTACCACCCTCAACCAGCAACAACACAACACTTGATTACCACCCCTCATCCAACAACAATACAACACTTGATTACCACCCCTCAACAGGCAACAACACAACACTTGATTACCACCCCTCAACCAACAACAATACAACACTGATTACCATCCCTCAACAGGCAACACCACAACACTTATCTTAACACTTGATTACCACCCCTCAACCAACAACAATACAACACTTGATTACCACCCCTCAACCAACAACAATACAACACTTGATTACCACCCTCAACCAACAACAATACAACACTTGATTACACCGCTCAACCAACAACAATACAACACTTGATTACCACCCCTCAACCAACAACAATACAACACTTGATTACCACCCCTCAACCAACAACAATACAACACTTGATTACCACCCCTCATCCAACAACACAACACAACACTTGATTACCACCCCTCAACCAACAACAACACAACACTTGATTACCACCCCTCAACCAACAACACAACACTTGATTACCACCCCTTAACCAACAACAACACAACACTTGATTACCACCCGTTAGCCAGCAACAACACAACACTTGATTACCCCCCCTCAACCAACAACACCACAACACTTGATTACCACCCCTCAACCAACAACACAACACTTGATTACCAGCCCTCAAACCAACAACAACACAACACTTGATTACCACCCCTTAACCAACAACAACACAACACTTGATTACCACCCGTTAGCCAGCAACAACACAACACTTGATTACCACCCCTCAACCAACAACACAACACTTGATTACCACCCCTCAACCAACAACAACACAACACTTGATTACCACCCCTCAACCAACACCACAACACTTGATTACCACCCCTCAACCAACAACAACACATCACTTGATTACCACCCCTCAACCAACAACACATCACTTGATTACCACCCCTCAACCAACAACAACGTAACACTTGATTACAACACTCAACCAGCAACACAACACTTGATTACCACCCTTCAACCAACACCACAACACTTGATTACCACCCCTCAACCAACAACACAACACTTGATTACCACCCCTCAACCAACACCACAACACTTGATTACCACCCCTCAACCAACAACAACACATCACTTGATTACCACCCCTCAACAGGCAACAACACAACACTTGATTACCACCCCTCAACCAACAACAATACAACACTTGATTACCATCCCTCAACAGGCAACACCACAACACTTATCTTAACACTTGATTACCACCCCTCAACCAACAACAATACAACACTTGATTACCACCCCTCAACCAACAACAATACAACACTTGATTACCACCCTCAACCAACAACAATACAACACTTGATTACCACCGCTCAACCAACAACAATACAACACTTGATTACCACCCCTCAACCAACAACAATACAACACTTGATTACCACCCTCAACCAACAACATACAACACTTGATTACCACCCCTCATCCAACAACACAACACAACACTTGATTACCACCCTCAACCAACAACAACACAACACTTGATTACCACCCCTCAACCAACAACACAACACTTGATCACCACCCCTTAACCAACAACAACACAACACTTGATTACACCCGTTAGCCAGCAACAACACAACACTTGATTACCACCCCTCAACCAACAACACCACAACACTTGATTACCACCCCTCAACCAACAACACAACACTTGATTACCAGCCCTCAACCAACAACAACACAACACTTGATTACCACCCCTTAACCAACAACAACACAACACTTGATTACCACCCGTTAGCCAGCAACAACACAACACTTGATTGCCACCCCTCAACCAACAACACAACACTTGATTACCACCCCTCAACCAACAACAACACAACACTTGATTACCACCCTCAACCAACACCACAACACTTGATTACCACCCCTCAACCAACAACAACACATCACTTGATTACCACCCCTCAACCAACAAACACATCACTTGATTACCACCCCTCAACCAACAACAACGTAACACTTGATTACAACACCTCAACCAGCAACACAACACTTGATTACCACCCCTCAACCAACACCACAACACTTGATTACCACCCCTCAACCAACAACACAACACTTGATTACCACCCCTCAACCAACACCACAAACACTTGATTACCACCCCTCAACCAACAACAACACATCACTTGATTACCACCCCTCAACCAACAACACATCACTTGATTACCACCCCTCAACCAACAACAACGTAACACTTGATTACAACACCTCAACCAGCAACACAACACTTGATTACCACCCCTCATCCAACAACAACACAACACTTGATTACCACCCCTCAACCAGCAACACAGTAATCAGTAAACAGCAATCAGTAAACGAGATGGAATATGTGGCAACAAAGTGCAAGGAGGCAGAGGAAAGTTTTGTTCCCAAGGGAAACAGAAATAACAGGAAGACCAAAACGAGTCCTTGGTTTACCCGAAGGTGTAGGGAGGCAAAAACTAAGTGCAACAGAGAATGGAAAAGGTACAGGAGGCATAGGACCCAGGAAAACAAGGAGATTAGTAGAAGAGCCAGAAACGAGTGTGCACAGATAAGGAGGGAGGCCCAGCGACAGTATGAAAACGACATAGCATCGAAAGTCAAATCTGACCCGAAACTGCTGTAGCCACATTAGGAGGAAGACAACAGTCAAGGACCAGGTGATAAGGCTGAGGAAAGAAGGTGGAGAACTCACAAGAAACGATCAAGAGGTATGTGAGGAGCTCAACACGAGATTTAAGGAAGTATTTACAGTAGAGTCAGGAAGGACTCTGGGGGGGACAGACCAGATGGGGACACCAGCAAGGAATACACCAACAAGTGTTGGACGACATACATACAGATGAGGAGGAGGTGAAGAAACTGCTAAGGGACATCGATACCTCAAAGGCAATGGGACCGGACATCTCCCCGTGGGTCCTTAGAGAGGGAGCAGATATGTTGTGCGTGCCACTTACCACAATCTTCAACACGTCCCTGGAAACTGGGCAACTACCTGAGGTATGGAAGACGGCAAATGTAGTTCCCATTTTTAAAAAAGGAGACAGAAAAGAGGCACAAAACTATAGACCTGTGTCATTGACGTGTATAGTATGCAAAATTATGGAGAAGA